CACACACACACACACACACACACACCCACACACACACACACACACCCACACCCACACCCACACAAAATTCCTCAGTGATATGAATGCAAAATGCCATTTTCAGCCCCCCACCCCCACAAGTAACGTTATGGGGGGGAAAAACAGCAACAGCATAGTTATAACAAATACAACGTAAACAATCATAGCTTTCACATAATAGACCAATACACCGCTGAGCAACTTGACCACTGCGAGGCAATATATTACAGTCACGCAGACAGAAAAGAGTTTCACAATTATTGCAAGAAATTCCTCAGTGATATGAATGCAAAATGCCATTTTCAGCCCCCCACCCCCACAAGTAACGTTATGGGGGGGAAAAACAGCAACAGCATAGTTATAACAAATACAACGTAAACAATCATAGCTTTCACATAATAGACCAATACACCGCTGAGCAACTTGACCACTGCGAGGCAATATATTACAGTCACGCAGACAGAAAAGAGTTTCACAATTATTGCAAGTGAATTATAACGCTTTAGTAATAGCCGTTTTTGGAAAGGTTAAATATGTGTGAATATGTTTATATTGTCTGCCTAGATGAGTTGATTCACTGTCTGTGTTGTGTTCAAATATCCACTGATAAAAGCATCAAAACACCGCCACATATATATTTTTAGCCTGTCGATGACTCGCTTCAAACTAACATTACGTGTTAGCATTATGACAAGGAAGTCGTAAGAGTGTGTGTTTTGTGGTAGCTTGGAGGCAAGAGAGACCAACACTTGTCTTGCATGTTTATACGCACGAGTGACTTCACTGAGGTTGCTTCAAGTGGCCAGAGAAGGGTCTCCCCTCCTTAATTGAGAGGGGAAAAAAAGTTTGTACATCGCTAAGTAATCCAGTGATGGGTGTTTGTGTTGGCTGATAAATGGTATTGTGGTTGACAGTTGTAAACAATTCAGTCCACTCACAAGATATTCCAACTTCCTTGCTCCCAATTCTCCAAGCCTGCTGCTCCTTTCTTGTCTCAGCGCCAATGAAGCTGGGTGTGTTGTGTACCTCTCAGTCCCGCAAATCACAATGATACTGTCCCACATCATTTTACTTCAACCAGCTGTGTGTGTGTGTGTGTGTGTGTGTGTGTGTGTGTTTGTGTGTGTGTGTTAATATTTTTGTAAAGCTTTATTTGGATGAGTGCCTGCTTGTTCTGCAGGAGTGTGACATATTAGGGGTGTTCACACTGCAACATTTGCTCCGGTGCTGCGCCGGGGCTACCCCAGTCGAGCTTTCACACGTGCAAAGTTACACTGGTGTAGCCCCTGAAAACAGCTTACTCCGAAGCAAATTTAACCCACCTCAGGGAGGTGGTTTAAAAATTTGCTCTGGAGCAAATGCTCGTTTGCGGGGCAGCACCGATTTAAAATGGTAGGTGTGAACGCCACAGGGTTAAAAATTTGCTTCGGAGCAAATGCTCGTTTGCAGGGGGAGTAGCCTCGCTACGCATGAGAAGAGTTGATTACATACGGCTAGAATGCGATGCTTTCGTGCTCTGTCTCGGAGTTGTTTGTGTAGTTTGTTCCTCTGTTGTGCGTTCACAACCCCTCTCCATAGAATTTATTTTGTGATTGCCTCTCTTGATTTTCTGTTTGCGCATTATATGTTTGCTTTTCTGAGTGTCATTGAAGTCATCGTTGATTTACGTTTTCGGGGGCGGTCATTGAATGCCTCTCGAGCAGAAGGCACGGAGACCGAGAAGGAGAAGGACATGCCTGTACAGTAGTTGCTTGAGTTTTTTAAAGAACCAACACGACAGCTCTTTGTTATCTATCGTTTTGCACCGCTGCAGAAACTGCCGTGTGAACGCAAGTGGGGCTGCACACGCTCAGCGGCTTTGTACGTGTGAACACTCCACAAAATTTGCTCCGGTCTAAGATATATCGCAACAAAATACATCGGTGCAGCACCGGAGCAAATGTGTGCCGTGTGAACACCCCTATTCAGTATATTCTCGACACCGATTGGCCGTCGCTGCTACCAAATGTTCACTTCAGCTTATTACTGTGAAACGGGCGAAGGAGCAAAATTTTAGTTTCCAACGCATCACTGGTCAAGTACCTGAACAGTGTCAAGAGGAAGGGGAAAATGCGTGAGGAAAAGTTTAAAAAGCGGCAAGCAGCCTTAAGAGGACTGACACGCAACAGCGATTCAGAAATTTAAGAGCGCTTCCTAAAAAGTGGAATGAGGTTGGTGTCAGTGCATCAAGACCCACCACATAGATGTCTGCATTGACATGGTTGGATTGTCTCCAATTTGTTCTGCAAACAGCTGAAGGCGGCCTCATTACGGCCAGAACATGCGTACATAAAAAAAAAAAAAAAAAAAAAAAAAAAAAACACATTGGACACACTGCCCAAAAAGGATTAAAACAAGCAAAAATACTTGATAAA